GCCTCCGTCCACCCCTGCCAGGCCTCCGTCCACCCCTGCCAGGCCCCCATCCACCCCTGCCAGGCCTCCGTCCACCCCTGCCAGGCCTCCGTCCAGCCCTGCCAGGCCTCCACCCAGCCCTGCCAGGCCTCCACCCAGCCCTGCCAGGCCTCCATCCACCCCTGCCAGGCCTCCATCCAGCCCTGCCAGGCCTCCATCCACCCCTGCCAGGCCTCCATCCACCCCTGCCAGGCCTCCGTCCACCCCTGCCAGGCCTCCGTCCACCCCTGCCAGGCCTCCGTCCACCCCTGCCAGGCCTCCAGCCCTCGGTTGGGTGGTTGGTTTCAACCAAGCTGGGCACACTGGTGTTTACCTTTCCAGGCTTGATTCTTGGTCCTCCCAATTTTGGGAGGATCCATAGCCCAGGCCCTCAGGATTGTCTTTTTTTTTTTTTTTTTGCTGAACCAAGAAAGGCTGCCCCAGCTGATGTCGCCTGTGTCCACCTCCCCGCCCCCTTCCCCAAGCTTAGCACCCTTCGTCAAACTTCAGCCGTGGGCGTGCTTCGTGCCCCCTGAGCTGGGTCCCACGTGCTCTTCTGGCTAGGGTATCCTTTGCTTTTCTTTCCCCCTGTTTCTTGTGTACCTGAGGGTTTTCAGCTTGTTCCTGTGTCTCTCGTCTTCTCGTTTCTTGTATCAGTTTCTCAAAAAAGAGCTCCTTGATTTTTCTCCATCCCTCTGCCACCTCACACACAATGGATGCCTCTTTCCATATTACTTTATAATCTGTGCCTGGGGATTGGAGGTGTGGCTCAGTCGGTAGAGTGCTAACCAATGAGACTCAGATACTGAGTTCTAAGTCCAGTCTCAGACCTAAAAGGAAAGAGATACAATCTATGTAAGGATTGGATTTACCTGTGTCTTGATGTTCTACCATGGAGCATGCTTCCTGGCATTTTTCAGGTGCTGAGTTAAAAGTCAGCCGAATGAAGTCCGGAAACACTTTTTGGTCTTGGTGCTGGTCCTGGGCCTAGTGCTATGTTCTGTCTACCACTTGAGCCATGCCCCAAGCCCTTTTTGCCTTAGTTTTCAGAAAAGGTCTTAGACTTTTATCCAAACTGGCCTTCAACTATGATAGTCTATTCTTCCCTTTCCCAAGTAGCTGGGATTAGAAGTGGGTTATCCTGAACCAGAAAATAATCATGAATTATATTTTGTTTGTGTGTGTGAATTTTATTTTGATGGTTCTGTTTTGTTTTTTTTGCAGGAATTTTGTAAAGTTAAGAAACAATGGTGAGTTGATATTACACATAAACTTTTCCTAATGAGTAATATTGCTGTATTCAGCAAACAGACTTGCATGAGAAAATTGGATTGGAAGGAAGAAGAAACAGGAATGATGTCTTCTTCCTTATCAGCTTCCTCCCCCAGGCTGAACTCTGTGCCCCAAGATACGCTTTGTGACTTAGAAGATCTGTGGGCTTGTACAAGTTGGTATTCAGTATGTAGCAATCACTTGTATGCTTTTTCTTTTGCAGTCTCGAAGATATGATTCCAGAACCACTATATTTTCTCCAGAAGGTAAAAAAATTAAAAGTGCTTTATGTGCCTAAAGTACTTTCCTTCCTTCCTTCCTTCCTTCCTTCCTTCCTTCCTTCCTTCCTTCCTTCCTTCCTTCCTTCCTTCCCCTCTCTCTTTCTTTCTTTCTTTCTTTCTTTTTTTGGTCATGGGGCTTGAACTGTGGGCGTGAGCTCTTCAGCTCAAGCCAGCACTTTACCACTTGAGCCACAGCACCACTTCTGTCTTTCTGGTGGTTAATTGGAGATAAAGAGACTCATGGACTTACCTGGCCTGGACTTTGAACCTTCATCCTCAGATCTCAGCCTCCTAAGTAGCTAGAATTATAGGGGTGATCCACCAGTTCCCAGCTAAAGTGTTAGACTTTTGTGAAGGGAAATTTATACACATTTTGGGGGATGTTAGGGTTATTCTCATGCATAAGGAAACTAAATGGGACTGTGGCTGGAGCTGTGCTGGTTTTCTCTGGACAGTGGAGCAGGAGCACAGAGGAGCCCAGGCTTCTCACTGCTGTGTTTTGCAGGTCGCTTATATCAAGTTGAATATGCCATGGAAGCCATTGGACATGCAGGCACCTGCTTGGGAATTTTGGCAAATGATGGTGTTTTGCTTGCTGCAGAGAGACGCAACATCCACAAGCTTCTTGATGAAGTCTTTTTTTCCGAAAAAATTTACAAACTCAATGAGTAAGTGAGAGGTGGGAAGGACTTTTAACTGTTTTACTCTCTCCCAAACATGGCATCTGCATGCTTGGGCAGGGTTCTTGTGGGTGACAAAGTGGAATTGAGCAGTTTATTGATACTTGTGAAAACTTGTTATGCTTTTATTTTGCTTGAAAATTGAGGCTCAGTATTCTGTGTTACTCCTTTTTTACTTATTCAGAGTATTTATTATAATGTAAGTATGTAGTTTTTTTTTTTTCTTTTTGCCAGTCCTGGGGTTTGAACTCAGGGCCTGGGCACTATCCCTGAGCTTCTTTTGCTTAAGGCTAGCACTTGAGCCACAGCACCATTTCTGGCTTTTTCTGTGCATGTGGTACTGAGGAATCGAATGCAGGATTTCATGCATGCTAGGCAAGCACCCTACCAGTAAGCCACAAAAATCACATTATTGTGTTTTTGTGCTAATGTGTACTGATAAAAGCTTAGTCTTTTTTTTTTTTTTTAATGGCAGTACTAGTGTTTGAACTCAGGGCTGTCTCCGTAACTCTCTCACTTAAGGCTGGCCCTCTACTACTTGAGACACATCTTCACTTCCTACTTTTTTGTTTGTTTTGTGGGTTTTTTTGTGTGCTGGTTCTGGGACTTGAACTCAGGGACTGGGTGTTGTACCTGAGTTTCTTTTGCTTAAGGCTATTGCTCTACCACTTGGAGCCATAGTTCCACTTTGGCTTTTTTTTTTTCTTTTCTTTTTTTTTGCTTTTTTTTTTCTTTTTAGTAGTTTATTGGAGATACAAGTCTCATGGACTTCCATGTCCAGGCTGGCTTTGAACCGTGATCCTCAGAGTAGCTAGGATTACAGGTATGAGCCACCAGCCACCTGGTGAACCTTAAATTTGAGTTCAGATTCGGGCTTCCCCAATATATGCTATGTAAGCTTATGCTGGCTATTGACTTAGGGCCTTACAGATTCTCAGGGTGATTTTTTTTTTTTTAAGTCTAAATACGGTAAAATGAATGTAATGACTACCTGGCATATAGCAGGCCCTTGAAGTATTTAGAAAGGCTGTTTAGAAATGTAGAATTACACCAAATCTTTACCAAAGAAGAGAGCTGTTGGAAGTTTAGGCATAGGCCAACTACCCCCAGTCGTACAGGATTTCTGTCCTGTTTGGGTGTACAAACTTTGCAGTTAACGGAAAGTTGGAAAATCCCTTCATTGGCCAGCAGGGGAAAGCTGGTCATTAGCTGGTCACTGGAGCCTTTGGCACTTATGTATGGAGACTCTTTGGAGCCTGCTTAGCAGCCCACAGGCTTCACTAGGCTTTGTGACAGTGGATGATGTCTAGATTGGAACACACACACAAGATAAAACTTGGGATTTTAGCTGCTTCTGTAAAACAAGTTTGGTGAAATCCTAATAGTTCCTGTACTCCTTGACATTGACCCCCCTATTAATCCCTTCCCTGTTAAACATCAGTCCTCTCTCCTCCCAGGGACATGGCGTGCAGTGTGGCCGGCATCACCTCTGATGCTAATGTTCTGACCAACGAACTGAGGCTCATCGCTCAAAGGTATGGATGCAACAGCGTGACTGATGGTGTGACACCAGCTGTTATGAGAGAAAGAACTCATTTTTTTTTTATGGGGATGAAACTGATTTAAAATGCTGTTGATTTGAATTTTTTTTCATAAACTTAAAATGTTATTTACTGATCAGTGTTCTTACACTGATGAAGTTGCATTGTAATTAATAAAACGATTTGCTGGGTGGTAACCTCTCTGGACAACTACTTAAGTATGATTTAAAAAAAAAAGCTTAAAATTAATAAAATAGGGCTGGGAAGGTGGCTCAGTGGTAGAGTGCTTGCCTTGCATGCATGAGGTCCTGGGTTCGATTCCTCAGCACCACATAAGCAAAAAGAAAAAAGCCGGAAGTGGTGCTGTGGCTCAAGTGGTAGAGCGCCGGCCTTGAGCTGCTCAGGGATAGCACCCAGGCCCAGAGTTCAGGCCCCACCACCAAAAACAACAACAACAAAAAAAAAAACTATTATTTACTGTAAGGATACTGGAACATGTAGATATTTGCTCAAGTTCCAAGTGACCATTCGACTGTCCTTATGACAGATTTGTTTTCAGAGGGCATATTCCTTAGGTGTGTTTATTTTAGAAAATACTCACATACTGTTCTCTTTATCCTAGGTATTTATTACAGTATCAAGAGCCGATTCCTTGTGAGCAGTTGGTTACAGCACTATGTGATATCAAACAGGCTTACACACAGTTTGGAGGTACTAAGCTTCTTAGAAATACTGTTGTAAACACCACAAACAGCCAAACATGGTGGCTCACATCTGTAATCCTAGCTACTCAGAAGCCTGAGATCTGAGTATCAGAGCTTCAAGTCAGCTAGGGAAGGAAAGTCTGTGAGACTCTTCTCTCCAGTTATGCACCAAAAAGCCTGAAGTGGCGCTGTGGCTTATGTGGTAGAGCGCTAGCCTTGAGCAGTAAAGCAAAGGGACATCACTTAAGTCCTGAGTTCAAACCCCATGATTGGCACAAAAAAAATTGAGGAATAATAACCTCTTTAAGACAGTGAAAAGAAGGCTGGGAAGGTGGCTCAGTGGTAGAGTGCTTGCCTTGCATGCATGAAGCCCTGGGTTCCATTCCTCAGCACCACATAAACAGAAAAAGCTTGGAAGTGGCGCTGTGGCTCAAGTGGTAGAGCGCTAGCCTTGAGCTGAGATGCTGAGGGACAGCGCCCAGGCCCAGAGTTCAGGCCCCACAAATCTCTTACCACATGTGAATCACCATATAGTTTATTAATAGGAAATTGAAAGGCCAAAGTAACGTTCTCTATATCTGGAAACAAATTGTTTCTTCATCATAGTGTGATTCAGCTCTGAGCTTCTGTGTCCTCGTATCCTTCTGGCTGGGTCTGCATCCCAGAAACAGGTAGAGTCTGTGAGCACAAAGCTGCTCAGGCAGCCGGGTGCTGGTGGCTCACGCCTGTAATCCTAGCTACTCAGGAGGCTGAGATCTGAGGATCGCGGTTCAAAGCCAGCCCGGGCAGGAAAGACCGTGAGACTCCTATCTCCAATAAACCACCAGAAAACCGGAAGTGGCGCTGTAGCTCAAGTGGTAGAGCGCTCGGCTTGAGCTGAAGAGCTGAGGGACAGCTCCCAGGCCCAGAGTTCAAGCCCCATGACCGACAAAAAAAGCTGCTCAGGCAGCTTAACTTCACAGTGGAGGCGTTAGCACATCAGCTCAGCTCCGGTGGCTAATGGGACACTGAATTGAGGTTGCTGGTGTTCAGCTTCTTTCCCTTTTCTTCAGGCAAGCGTCCCTTCGGTGTCTCACTGCTCTACATCGGCTGGGACAAGCACTATGGATTCCAGCTGTATCAGAGTGACCCCAGTGGGAACTACGGGGGCTGGAAAGCCACATGCATTGGAAATAACAGTGCTGTGAGTATGTCTGCCGCCCTGAAACCCGAGTAGAGATGGCGTGACCAGCAGTGATCATCGCTACACAGCTTGCATGCCGTGGACACGATCTGCTTTCTGTTGTCCTGGATGCCTGTGGCTCACACCTGTCTTCCTGACTACTCAGAAGACTGAGATTTGAGGATCATGGTTCAAAGCCAGCCTGGGCAGGAAGTCCTTGAGGCTCTTATCGCCAATGAACCACTCAAAAAAGCTGGAAGTAGAACTGTGGCTCAAATAGTAGAGTAAGCACAAACACTCAGGGGACAGTGCTCTGGCCCCAAGTTCCACCTCAGTACCTGCACACAAAAGATTTCCTTCAGAGTATCCGTGCCCCATTTCACTCCATCTCCAGTCTACCTTCCTTATCATGAAGATGGCTTTTACTGCCTGTAATGCCAGTGAAAAAGTAGGCATGTCTTTTTTTTTTTTTTTTGTCAGTTGTGGGGTCTGAACTCTGGGCCTGGGCACTGTCCCTCAGCTCTTCAGCTCAAGGCAAGCGCTCTACCACTTGAGCCACAGCGCCACTTCCGGTTTTCTGGTGGTCACTTGGAGATAAGAGTCTC